CCATATTTTCCACCTACCAAGTTTTCTTCTTTGCTCCCAACCTTTGCATTTCAATCACCAGTAATGACCAATACATCTTGATTGCATGTTTGATCAATTTTAGATTGTGGAAGTTGGTAGAATTCTATTTCATCCTCATTGGTTTTAGTGTTTGGTGCATAAATTTGAAGTATAGTGGTATTAACTAGTCTTCCCTGTAGGCGCATGGATATTATCCTATCACAGATAGCATTTTACCTCATGACTGATCTGGATATGTTCTTTTTGACAATGAATGCAACACCCTTCCTCTTCAATTTTTCTTTTCCGGCATAGTAAACCATGTGGTTGTCAGATTCATAATGGCCAATACATGTCCATTTCAGCTCACTAATGCCTAAGATATCGGTGTTTATGCATTTCATTTCATTTTTGACAGCTTCCAAAATTCCCAGATTCATACTTTGTACATTCCATATTCCGATTTTCAATGAATGTTTACAACTGTTTCTCTTCATTTTGAGTTGTGGCCCATCAGCAAATGAATGTCCTGTTGGGTTTTTCTCGCATGGACTTTACTTCATTCGCATCATCATGGTCAACTCTACTTTGAGGAGGCAGCTCTTCTCCAGGTGCATTCTGAGTGCCTTCCAACCTGAGGGGCTCATTTTCTGGCACTATATCTGACAGTGTTTCTCTGCTATCTATAAGGTTTTCAGTGACTAAATATTCGGAAATAGTTCATCACTCCTTCTTCCTAGTCTGTCTTTGTCTGGAAGCTCATCTGAAACCTGTCCACCATGGATGAACCTGCTCGTATTTAAAATACTGGTGGCATACCTTTTAGAGTCACAGCAACTCATAAGCCACCACAGTACGACAAATTGACAGATGAGTGATGGATTTAGCAGTAATGAAATGAGTCTTAATGGTCCTCTGCTACTAACTGAAAGGTTGATGGATAGAACCCACCAGCTACTTTATGGGAGAAAGATGTGGCAGTCTGTTTCTGCAAAGATTGAAAACTTTGGAAATCCTATAAGGCAGCACTTATATGTCCTAAAAAGTTGCCATAGCAATCAGGTTTTGGTTTATTGTTGTTGTTGTTGCATGCCGTGGAGCCAATTCCAATTCATAGTGGGTTTCCAAGGCTGTAAATCTTTACAGGAGCAGAAAGCCTCATTTTTCTCCCACAGAACAGCTGGTAGTTTCGAACTGTTGACTTTGCAGTTCACAGCCTGATTTATTGTTATGTGACATTTAATCAGGTCTGACTCCTAGTGACCCTTTCCACAATACAACACAACATTGCCTAGTTCTGTGCCATTCTCACAACGGTTGTTATATTTAAACCCATTGTTGCTGCCACTTTATCAATCTAACTAATTAGGGTCTTCCTTCTTTTTGATGACCCTCCATTTTTCCAAGCATGAGGTCCTTCTTCATGGACTGGTCCCTACTGATAATATGTCTAAAATGTGAGAGTTGAAGTCTTGCTAGCCTGGCTTCTTAGAACCATTCTGGGTACACTTCTTCCAACCCACATTTGTTTGCTCTTCTGGAAGTCCATAGTAATAACAATATTGTTTCCAAACATCAACATTCAAATGCATTAATTTTTCTATGTTCCAACTTTCATGTGCAATAAGACTACTGAAAATATTATGATTTGTGTCAGTCACACCTTCGCCTCAAATGACATCTTTGCTCTTGAACACTTTAAGGAGGTCTTTTACAGCAGGTTTGCTTAACGCAATACATCATTTGATTTCTTGACTGCTGCTTCCATGTCAAAAATGAAGTCTTTGACAACTTCAATTTATCATGATGTACATTATTACTCCATTTCCGAGGATTTTTTGTTTTCTTTACATTGTGGTGTTACCCATCATATTGAAGGCTGTCTTCTTTGGTACTTATCAGTAAATATTTCATATCTTCTTCACTTTCAGAAGATTAGGTTATGTTATCTGTTTATCATGGGTTATTAATGACTCTATTTCCAATCCTGAAGCCACCTACTTCTTCATATAATTCACCTTCTGGCTTTATTTGCTTAGCATACAGTTTGAAAAGTGCAGTAAAAGGATACAATCCTGCAGCGCACCTTTTCTGATCTCCAACCATTCAGTATCCCCTTGTTCTGTTCAAATAACT